AATGACCAAACAGGATCAGGAACGCTTGGTTAGCCCGAAAGGCTGATTGCTGTGAGGCTCGAGGCTGAAAGCGGCTGCGGATGATACAGAACATATAATTCTCATGAACATGTCCGATCTTAATGAAAACGCAGCTCGCAGACACAAATTTTCTTTTAGACGGAAAACAGTCTAAATAGAAAATCCAGCACATGGTTGTGCTACCAGCAAACGAGACTACCACCATATTCCTTGGCAGTAAAATAATCGGTAAATCTCTGTTGAGATATCAATTCCAAGGAAGGCTACCGCTGTGGCGGCATTCTTGAGATTGTCTATGATCCACCGAACAGTGAAAGCTTTATGTTGAAGAAGTTCACGGAAGGGTGGATGAATGTCTGTTTCTGGTAAATTCCCTGTTTCCAGAGCCTTGATAAGCTCATCAGGTTGCGCCGAGTGCTTTGTTAATGCATCAGCTAGGCAGTACTTCGAGCTTACATGAGCTAGGTCATCTAAAGATCCAGAGTTGGATTCCTTACGAAGCATCTGAATGAGGTGGTGAGTTTCCTTCTGCTCTGGAAGGTGTGTCGTGCCTGCTGTTGTCACAAGATTGTTCGCATCTGTTCTGATATGTATGGGTACGGTCTCTGATGAGAGATCTGCCCAAAGTCCCTTGAGGAACAGGCAAGTACCAAAGCAACGCATCAGTGCGTTAAGCTCTGCCACTGTTGTGGACATTGTGGTTGTCGTAATCTTGTGAGACTCATAATCCACCAGGCTACCTCTCGAGGATGTTTCCTTAATAGAGGATTCAGAGAAATCGTTCTTCTTGGAAGAAGCAGCTGCTGCTGATTGTTTCATTCCCTTTAGCTTTGGATTTCGATCTTCAGCAAGGAAAATAACATGTGCTCTCTGAGATGATTTGTCATCATTGTTCCTGTAGGAAGCATCAGGGTAACCGAGGATTCTGAGATTTCCTTTCAGCGGCCAAAAACGCAGTTCTACTTCAGTAGACTTCAAAATCCTAACAAGCTTGTTCAATTCTCGAATATCACCGATAGTAGGCTTGGCAGCCTTACTCGCACACCGACTGAAGCGATAACAGATGTGAGCTTGAGTCCGGCTTTGTAGCCAGTTGATCTGTCCTAAAACACTTCTGTAAGCAGTGTGCTGCTGTGGTGTGCATTGTTGCTCATTGTTGAGCTTCTTATCAAAAACAATTTCCTCTAGAGCTTCAACAGCTAGGTTCTGATTTACTGAGATATGTGCTGGTACCGATGCTGTAGCATCCTTCCAGACTAATCTCTGTCCTACAAACATAATATCGTTCGTGTCTTCAGAACCGACTGCAAACTCCTTTTTGATCGATTCAATCACGGCCTTACGAAAGGTGTCATCACCGGCCATGCACAGGTCATCTACATGTAAACAGACTACTCCATGTACCTGTCTACCCTTGGCATTGTTGCCTGCTATGGGATCTAGGAGATAGTCAATCGCTGATTCCATGGTCTTTGGCTGAGACTTCTTGAGCTCAGCATCTGCTGTTGCAGACTTCTTACCATACAGAACATATGTACAGCGATCCGCACGGGTTGGCACCAGGCCGTAAGACAGGAGTGCCTTATCAACGATGTTCCACCATCTTCGAGGTGCATCGTTAAGTCCATAAGCGGGTTTCTTCATCCTCGCTGCAATGTAGGGAGGATAACCTGCTTCAGGAGGAATCTGACAGATTATGTCTCTCGACTCATCATAGGCTTCACCCTGCAGAAAAGCAGTCTTTAGGTCGATGTGTGTCAGATTCCACAGCTTGTTAGCTGCTAGTTGAATCGCCAAGCGGAAACCTGGGCGACTCGCAGCAGGACTATCAGTTTGCTGTATGTCCTTTTGTCGATCCTGGAAACCTCTTAGGACCCATCGGGCCTTGCACTTAAGGAAGTTTCCGTCCTTATCTCTTTTTAGAGTCAGGACCCATCGACCAGTGACATAATTTCGGATGTTTCCGAGTTTCCGTGTATCGACGAGCTCAAAGACATCATTGTCTAGCCAGCTCTGATATTCTGCTGCTTTCGCTTCATCAAACTGTTTCTTCATCTCACGCTTTTCCTTGGCGGTTGCCTCCTTCCGTTGTGCCTTCTGGGTCAAATTTGCTGAGTTCCTGGGGGAACTTAGGGATAAGGCCTTGTCCTCTTCCGTGAGAAGATCATACTCTTCACGGATGTCAGATCGGAACCTTTTGGTGGGTTTATACCGTGTTCGGTCTGACCTCACTCTTGATGTTACCTCTCTGATGTCTACGGGTCCGCCATGCATGTACCGAGGCATGGAGAAAGAACCTGTGTTACTGCACAGTTTCTGTTCTTCTGTGAGAAGGATCCAGTCCTTCTCATCTACGACCAGGTCACCTTCCTCATCAGAGTAATACCTTGTGTCTTCTGACTCGGCATCGCTCTCCGGTTCTGGTGAACCAGAGGTGTGAGGAGGAGCGGACGGTTGTCCGGGGTCGTCCGGGACCAGTTCTTCTTCAGAATCTTCTTCATCTTGTTGTAACGGAAGAATGGGTCCCTGTGGATGTGCCTTCGGTTTAGGTTTTGGTGTCGGCACCTGTGAAGGTGATTTCTGTTTGTGCGGCGAAACTTTCCTTTCCGATGAAGACCTTGGCGACACATCACCCCCCAGACGCCGAGGAGACGGAACGCGAGGAGGCGGATGCACGCGAGGCTTAGCCCGAGCAGGAGCCACGGGCTCATCGGAGGAAACGGCCGGTAGTCGCGGTGGAGGTATGGGAGGAGGAGGACGCGACGGCGGCGTGCCGGGAGGCATCGGCTGATCTGGTTCCGGCATAGAGACATCGTCAGATGTGATCCGTGAGCGATTAGTGCTCATGGGTTCTGACGGGTCTGACGGCGAAACCTCTTCGTCCGACATGATAACATCCGGCGGTGTTCGCACGGACGGTGAAGTCTTGCCGCCTGTCATCTGGAAGAGCACCCCCGAGAAGGTTGATGGGTGTACTTTATTCCAGGAAACCTGGTGCGGCAAGCAACACGTCATAGTCGAATTGGGCTTCTTCTTGTTCCAGAAGACAAGAACGCCATCAGTTACACTGGTGAGTGCTTTGACTGTTCCAAATGTACCTCTGTATAGAGTACACTGTTCGAAACCAGACCCTGGTAAGAGTCTTGATCTAAGGCGAGTAATGTCTGACACCAAGGCATCAAGGGACGGTGATGGTTTGGAATGATGCAATGGTAATTCAGTTTTACTCGATAAGGAATTTACTCTAGCAACAAGTGATCTGATTTTCGGATCTTGCAGGAGTTTGGAATCCTTGAGAGGATTTGCTGTCAAAAGTGAATACTCTTGGTCAAGAAGTTCCGAAAGTCCCTGGAGGCATTCATCTCCAGAGTATCCTAGTATGTCTGTGACTAAAGAAAGATGAGATGCATATGTATCTCTCTTCAGGAATCTTGCCAAACACGAGGCAAAGGTCTCACAGAATTCATAAGGATACACTTGTGCGAGTTTCGTTTTAAGACCGTAGCCTTGAATACCCTTTTCGTCTCCTGGTGGAGATGTTGGAGATTTCGTTTTGGCAGAATGCCTCTGGAGAGGAGTTAGAACCTGCGGTGGCAGGTTGTGCATGAAAATCGAGGATTTCGATTCATAGTATCCTTTTGGATCTTTCATGCCATAGGCTTGTAGGTTACAGACCTCATAGCTGATCTTGCGGTTGGAAAACAGGCGTTTTGCTTCTGGTGAAGACCAGAGCCTGCTGTAGTATGGGTTCTCAAGAACAAAGTAACGTCCGAGCTTCATTTGGTGGTCTGCGACCGATTCACAGAATTTTAAAACAGAAAGTCTCTTGGCAGAGCCTTTCTTCCACTGTGAGTACCAGCTAGACCACTGAGAGTGATCGGGTGACATAACAATAATAGTAGGTTCTTGTTCCTTGATGATCCTAAGAAGATTGGAGCGACCTTGCGGTTGCTCAAGATCTAGACCACTACGCAAGTCGACTGGCTGACCTACTCGCAGACCTGACAGGGCAGCCTTGTGACTCATACGGGGAGATCCACCGTAGAGTTCTAGGAAGTCAATCTTCCCAGTGCTGGTGACCTGCCAGTGACACTCTTGATGCGGAACCGTTAGGTCTGTCGACTGCAGGGAAGCATCAAAGGTGACCATGCAACTTGCGTGGTCAGAACCTTCTGACGTCAGAGTTTCCTCATCAGGCGCGAGAGGAATCTCCACATCAGATGTTATGTCATAATTTTTCCTCAGTTTTGAGATATTAACGCGGACGATGCGTGTTCCAAGATCCACACCTACCATGGATCCTCCGAGTTCGGAGATCACCTTTCCTTTTAGCCAAGATCCATGTTTGGACCCAGTTGATCCAATCTTAGACTTATCCTCTGACCAGTAGAAAACCTTATCTCCCAAAGAGAAAGGTCCTTCGGTCATTGACAGTCTGGCCGCAAGATCTCTGCGCAGATCATCAGATTGGCGTGCCTCTTGGTAAGCCCTGTTGGCAAGCTCCTTAATGGCTCTCGCAGTGACTTCCGTATCAGTTGGATTACCTGTCAACTGATTGGGATCAGCGTTCTCTGGTGTTATAACATCTCGAGGACGCCTACCAAAGGCCATTTCTAAAGGAGTAACTCCTCCATAGGTAATGGAAGCTTCGTGCTTCACGACGTCACTTTCTCCATAAAAAGTTTTTCCCCTTCTCTTTCTGTTTTAGTGCCCGTTTTGGGCGTTGCTAAAACACGAAGTTTGTCTTTGGAGAAGAATGATTTTTCATGTGACATGAACATGCAGTGCTGTCATCATGTCACATGAATCTTGTGAAATTTTGCCCCGTGCTGCCTTGACATCTCAAGTTCTGAAGGTGGGGCAAAATTCTTGCTTTTGGACCCTGCTAGAGGCTTGTAACGGCGTCCTAGCAGGTCTCGGGCCCCCTAAGTGCTGGCTTTAGGGCGTCACGACTCCCCGCTTTTCGTGCGGGGCGTCAGATGGACTTCGGCGAAGCGCTCGCTGACGGATCTTCTCATCGATCCGAGGCCAGTTCCACTAGCACTCGCGAGCTTCACAGCCAGCACATTCACGATCTCCAATTGGAGGTCAACGCCCTGAGGCTTCAGGTTCAAGCCCTCAGGTCCGATTTGCAGACTCTGGAGGAGTCCCTTGCTCGCGTCTGGGTGAACCAGACGGGTCATCATCAACGCCTCTCGTGGCTTGAGGGGATCATCCAGGGCTTGCGCAACGCCTGCAGAGTTTTTCTTGAACCGCGCGAGCAGTCTGCTTTATAAGCTGTCCACAGGTGCGACTCCCAAAGCCTCGCCTGCTGCAGCGGGCCCTGCGGCCGCCAACCTGACTGAGGCTGATCCTGATCACTCGGTTTCTGGTCAGGGGGAGGAGCCTAGTGATGATGCAGCCAGTGTCAATGCATGGGGCCTGTTGGCTCCCCTGAGCCCAACCACCCATGCTGCCGTGCCTGAGGAAAGCCAGGAGGACCCCGCCTTGTGGCTGTCGGAGCCTTTTAGTCCCTTTGCTTACGACCCTGTGCACGACCCCAACCTTGGTGACCCTGCCTCGGACTTGGGTTCTTATGATATGGTTCATAGTGGGGAACGGGAAAGGTCTCTTGACCCCGAAGACATTTGGTATGATTCAGTGCGAGATCATTCTTTAGACGCGGCCCTAGTCGAAGGTGACAGAGAGGAGGTCGCAACCAGTGTTGCGGAAGAGCCTCTTCTGCCTGCTGAGTCGCTATCCTGCAAGCGTGTCTTCGAGGATGCCAGGTGGGCCGAGGTTGCTCAGGAGGCAAAGTTCAGGCGTGTGTGTCAGGACTTGCCAAAGTTGCCTTGGGAGCAAGGTGCATGGTCCAGTATTTTTGGACCTGAGAGAAACATGATCGACGATGCCCTTAGGAGCAGTGTGCAAGCCTCATATGGCTCCGAGGAAGCTGGTCAATTGCCACCTGAGAACCTGCCGTCAGCTTCGGCCTTTCTTGAGAAAACTTCGAGTGTAGTTAGGACTAGGCTAAGGCGGTTTCATCTTGAGCGACCGGCAGATGATCGACGGGAGCACGCCATAAAGCGACTGAGGGCTCTCATCATGTACGATCCCGACACTACCTTCTTGGGGATGGTAGTGGCAAAGGAGGCAGCGAACCTAGCTGACGATGAGTCTCTGTCATACTCCTTCACTTGTGCTTTTGCGAAGAGTGCTTCCGGCTCTCTCATAAAGCGAGCTGGGTCCCTTGACCGTTTTGGTAAGTGGATCCTTAGCTGCCGAGGGACCTCGCCCCTTAGAAGCTCCGAGGTTGACGTGTTTGCCTACTTCTCGCACCTGCAGGGCGAGGGGGCGGGGGCCACGTCATGCCAGCATTGTGTGGAGGCACTGCGGTTCCTCCACGGTGTTGCGGTGTTTCAAGTGCTTGACCTTGAAGAAGTCTTTAGCGCCAGGGTGCTAGGGATTGTGAGGATTATGCACGTGACAAAGGCCCCGTTAGCTCAACGTCCCCCTCTGACTGTAGAACACCTGTCCCTCTTGGAGCAATTTGTGACCATGAACAAGGATCACCGCGCATGTGTGGTAGGCCAATTGGTCTTCTGCGCACATGCTTGTGCCCGGTGGGCAGACAGTCAGCGCGTACAGAGCCTAACCATGGAGTGCGATGCTGAGAGCGGTGTGGTACTGATAGTAGCCGGGGCACTCGGCTCCAAAACAGCGATCTCTGCTGAAGCACGCACGCGGCTTCTGCCGTACGTCGCCCTGGGCAAAGGCGTAAGCAACGTGCCATGGGCAGAGGCGTGGATGGAGGCCAGAAAAGAAATGGGTCTGCAAGCTGGAGGGTCTTTTCTCCTTCCAACCTGGAGTGAGCGAAAATATGACTGGGGTGATTTTGAAATGGGGGCCGCGGAGGCCACAAACTACCTCAGGGAGGCGCTCATTTCCATGGGATGCGATCTTGATGAGGTCCAGGACTATGGCAGCCACAGCATGAAAACTACTGTCTTGACTTGGTGTGGCCGTAGCACGATCATTCCTTTCACGGAGCCTGAGCAGCGTGCGCTTGGCCATCATCTGGATCCGACAAGCAAATCTCCTTTGACTTACAGCAGAGAGTACTATTTGAAGCTCTATGCAAAGGTGCTGGCCGTCTTTTCGACCATCCAGCAAAACCGTTTCAAGCCGGATTTGCCTGGGGCTGCAAGTGTTGCTGCTATGGCGCAGTCCTTTGAAGAGGGCAACGAAAGGGGCTTGAGCCGACTTGAAATTCCGGCGTCAAAGCTGAACAGCGAAAAGATGGATGAGGATGGGGAGTCGGACGACTCCGATCATGCCTCGATAGATTTGGACAGAGAGCTCGAAAGGGATGATGGCCCGGCCGAACGTGAAGTTTTTCGAGGGGTCCCCTGGACCACATGCACTGTCCATTCTGTCTCCGGCATCACACATGTGAAGAGGGATCAGACCTCTCTCTTGTGCGGCAGAGTTATCAGTAGGAACTATAAACCTTTTCGGCAAGGTAGTCTGCTAGGGGAAAACCCCTCATGCTGCATACAATGCTTTAGGGTCCTTGAGGCCCAAGGGGGATCCGACGCCGAGGCGAACCGTGGCGGTTAAAAGAAAGTGCTGTTCTGATCTGAGACTGGTGTGTGCTGGCATGGCCTGTAGCTGAGTGCTGCGTAGGGTCGTTGTGCCAGCTGCCGTGAGTCCGATCGTCTGAGCAGTCATTGATGAAGTTTGCCGCCGTTCCAGTTTTTAGAACATTGATCATGAGAAACATGAACATGTGTCGAAATACAAGTAGCGAGGAGTTTGGACATGTCATGTGGTAGCGTCAGCTCATGAACATTCTTGAAGAACCCTAGGTTGTGCAACATGACTTCCTCCGCCCTGGAAAGTACTGCCGAGTTTGCTGAGAGGTGCAAGCGGCTAGGACTGTCGGCAGCCAACTTGGAGGTGCTCCAGCATGCAGGCGTTGCAAGCTTTGGCCAGTTGTGCTTTAGTGTGAGTGCCTCCCCTCACACCATCACTGACCAGACTTTCGAAGCATGGGTTCAGCGGCTTTGGGTGCCCTCGGTTCCTTCTGAGCAGCAGCAAACATGTCTGAAGAAGCTCCTTTTCGAAAGCCAAACCATGTCAATGGGCGAGATTCGACAGAAGATGCAACCGGCCTCGGAGCAAGTTGCAAAGCCTCTGCCCCCGTCGGAGCGGTTAGCCAGGTCGCAGCGACAGCAGGCTAGGATCACTGGTTTGGTGTACACTCCTGAGACTACTCCCTCGCACTACCTAGTTGACTTGTTTAACGATCAACTTGAGACGGGAGTCATTGCATGGGTCGCGCCTGAAAAGTGCGCTTCCAGGGCAGATGAAATGCAAATCAATAAGAAGGACAAAGCCTTGCAGCTCATGCCGGATGGACAGATCAAGGTTAACTCCAAGGCTGCAGAGGTCAGGTGTGAAGCCAGCACTGACTCCAAGCTTCGTGCAGCTTGGCAGAGACGGTCCCTTGCAATGGACATGGCTGGGATTGCAACTTTCATCGTGGTTGAAAAGTGGGTACATCATCTCTTTTCAGTGTTTGCCCGCGACGTGCCGGAAGGTTATGCACCCATCCAGTTGAGGCAGATGGTAAATGCCGACAAGCGCTTGTTCATGTTGGCCGCCGAGGGCCTGCCTGCTGATCTCAGGGCCAGCCGGCCCGGAGACAGGACACCGCTGGATGATCAAATTATCATGCTGATGTTCTCTCCCGAGATCTCTCAGTACCTTGTGCCGATGCCCAAGCCTCATGTTCCGCCCCCACCTCCGGGGGGTAAGGCCTTAGCTGAATCGCTGAAGCGGGCCCTCAGTGAGGACTTGCCCTTTGATAAAAACTTCTTGAGTCGGGCTTGGAAAAAGGGCAAAGGCGGCAAGGGCGGAAAGGGTGGAGACAAGCAGGAGGATCCAGCAAAGCGATTCAACCTTCCCGAAGGCTGTTGTGATCGCAATGACAAGAACCAGCCTCTGTGTTTCTTGTGGAATCAGGGGAAGTGCAAATGGAAGGGCAAAGGAAAGCGCTGCAACAGGGGCTTCCACCAGTGCTATTTCAAAGGCTGTTATCGCGACAAGCCTTTCATTGAATGCGACCATAAGGATTGACAGTCGGTGGCGCTGCAGGCCAACGAGTGGGCCCCTGAGACCAATTCTGGTCTTCACCCGGCTGAGTCCTTGGCTCGCAGCGCAGTGCAACAGGGTAATCTTCAGAAATCAGTCATTCTGTCAGTTTTCGAGCTTTTGCCTGAAGGGAATAATCCTAGAGGGTCCGATCGAGCTTCCAAGGCCTTCGTGACTGGTGCTTTCATTCATGGAACCATGTGTTCAGTGGTCAACAATCTCACACGTTTTCCATGGACTTCTGAGCTCTTGGCATCGTATGCAAGGCAACAGGCGCCGACGGCAAAATTTTCTTCATTGGTCATTTTTCGCAACAATCAGGCGGCTCCGCATCGCGACTCGCATAATTGCCCACATAGTACCAACCAGGTTTTTGCAATTACGAATTTTTCAGGCGGAAGGGTCATCGTGGAAGACCCTGAGGGAGAGCATAGAATCACTCATGAGGGCCGCGATTTTCGTGGTCGTGCCATAGACTTTCGGAATGGAATGCTGAGATTCGCTGCGCGGGAGGTCGTGCATTGGACCGAGCCCTGGCTCGGCACCAGGGTGGTCCTTGTGTCATACACGGTGAGGGGCCTCAAGGGCATGCCTGACACTTGCCGTGATTCGCTTTTGCAGGCCAGATTTGCCTTGCCAGGCTATAAAGCCGAGCCCCTTAGGTGCCCGCCTGTGGAGGTTCCCACTTCCCTAGATCCTAAGCCTGATGCCGAGGCCAACCCGGTTCCTTTGGGGTCTAATCCTGATCCTGCATCTCTTGAGGGTCCTGTGCCTGTAGGGTTTAGTCCTGCCCCTGTCCCGCAAGTGCCCAAGGAGAGTCCGTCTTCCGCTTCGGTCGGCGAAACCCCGTTCGCCCTCGAACTCTTTTCGGGGCGGGGACGGCTGTCGCAATGCTTGCGCCGGGCCGGATTTACCGTCTTGTCCATGGACCACAGGCTAGCTCACAGCCTCGTGCCAGTTTGCAAAACTGATCTTGCCACCGAGGCAGGCCAAGCTTTCGTGTGGTCGCTCCTCGAATCCTGCTGCCCTGCCTTTGTCCATATGGGCTTGCCTTCTGACACAGCCTCTTCTCGCTCCTCCTCAGGAGCCTTGCGTACCTCGCAATATCCTTTGGGATGCCCGGATTTAACCTCAGGCAGTCTTGAGGCCACACGCGTGGATGAGGCCAACCGAATGTACCGCTTCTCTTTTGAGGTTGCTTGCTTTTGCCTGGCCAGGGGTATTCCCTTTTGCATAGAAAACCCACCGAGTTCCAGACTGTGGCAAATCTTTACTTGTTTCGCGCAGGGCTTGAAGGACACAGAGGTGTTAGCCAAGTGGCAGGCATTGCAGTCAATCGACCTGCATTGTTGCATGTTTGGCGGCTCCCGTGCTAAGCCATTGCGGCTTAAATGTACACCTGGCCTGTTCGACTCCCTTGCGGTATCATGCGACAAGCAACATGAGCACAAGCCCTGGTCCCTCAGCCGCACTCGTGTGGAGATTGCCGAGGATGCATCTTACCCTCTGGATTTGTGTCGTCGTATGGTTTCATCCTTGCTGTCTTTCATGAGCCAAGCTGGACAGGCCTTGCCGTCTGCCATCCGTTTGCATGACCAATCCTTGGCTGCAGCTGGGGTCCAACCGCGCCGGCGTAAACCTCTAATCCCCGAGTACAAGACAGTCGTGCAGGTCCCAGCGGACTCTCCAATCCCGACTGGTGCCAAGGTGCTTTCTCCCAGCCAACTTCAGGGGGTGGATGTGGCTGCTCCTGTGGCTACTCCGATGTCTACACCCTCCTCTGGTTCGACCACTCCGACTGTTGGTGCCGTGACCTTGGGCCTTTGGCACTCTCCGAGCGAATTCTTTCACAAAGCTGCATCTCTAGCTCACCCCATGGATACCACCAAGCCGGTGGCCATGGTGACGAAGGCAGCAATCGATTCCTCCTTACATGGGGACCCGGATGCACTATCCGAGCAAAGGAGATCCTTCCTTGGCTACTTGGAGGAGAAGATTCGCCGCCTTCAGCCCCGTGAGGACGCCTTACACAAAGGCATGCCAAAATATATGCAGGAAGTTCTTGAGGGCAAAAACTTGCTAGCCTGGGAGGAGCTCTTGAAAGAGACGGGCTATACTGACCTTGATTGCGTGCGCTTCATGAAGGAGGGAGTGAGGCTTGTAGGGTGTGAGGAACATCCAAAGGACTTTGCAAAGAAGGTATCCCCCGCATCCTTATCGGAAGAAGAGCTTAGAGCTACGGCTCGGCATCGAAGGTCTAGCTTGTTGGGTTTAGGGCGTAGTTTCCCCTCTGAGGAGGATGCTTCCCTGCTGTCCCAAGCCACGGCCGAGGAGGTCGATGCTGGCTTCCTTGAGCGAGGTATGACTGCCGGGGAGGTCAGTGCCTTCTTCGGTCACGAAGATTGGGGTGTGGTACGAAGGTTCGTGCTGGTCCAGGATGGAGGTCGCAAGGTCCGTCCCATAGACGACTGCTTGGAGGCGCAAATCAATGCTGCTTATACCTCCACAATTGCCCTGCAACTTCACGATTCAGATTATGTAGCTTCACTGGCCCTCTTCATCGCTGAACGAATGCAAGGCCTTCCAGCCAGCAAGCGCATGCCGTGGCATGGGAAGTGCCTCGACCTTTCGAAAGCCTATAAACAAATGGCAGTCCATCCACGAGACCGCGACTTGTGTGTCATCATGATCCAGGATCATGATGGAGTTGCAACTTACCACATTTGCAATGCGTTGATGTTCGGGGCTTCAGCATCAGTGTTTGCATTTGTGCGGGTGAGTCGTTCGTTGTGGTGGATAATAAATAAGTGCTTGAAAGTACCCTGTGCCTGCTACTTCGATGACTATCCATTATTTACCCCAGAGTCATCAGCTGCTTCCGTGGACCAAGATGTATCCCGGCTATTGGACCTGCTGGGGTGGAGGCATGCAAAGTCCGGGTCAAAAGGCAAACCCTTTGATAGTTCCTTCGACGTCCTTGGGACTAGGCTAGACTTGGGTGAGATCTTGTCAGGGAAGATAGTTCTTGCAAATAAGGTTGGCAGGGCGGAGAAAATTCTTGAAAAGGTTTCGACTGCATCCCTAGGGAATGGGAGCTTCAGGCAATCTTTGCAGGTCCTTATTGGACACTTGAACTTCGCCTCCGGCTTCTTTGCCGGAAGGGCCCTGCGACACGTGGCCTACGACTTGAATCATCTGATGGGCAAGGATTGGCTTTCAGCTAAGGACTCCTTAGATGAGTTGGGCAGCCGCATCTCCGTCATCCTTCAGTGCACCCCTCCCCGGTCCTTAGTGTGCAACCGAGTGCGCCAACCGGTCCTGGTGTGGACCGATGGCTCTTGGGAAAAGGGACATGCGGGTATAGGTGCAGTTGAATGGGATCCCATTGCCTCGAAGGGTGCGGTTTGGGCTGGCCACATCCCAACTAGCATCACTGCTCTGTGGTTGAGAACTGAAGATCACACTCAGGAGCAGATAATATCGCAGGTCGAGTTGTATGCAATGGCACTCATCAGACATCTACGGAAAGAAGCATGGATGCACCGGAGGGTCATCGTCTTCTGTGATAACGAGGCGGCACGCTTCGCAGCCATAAAGGGTGGCAGCAGCAGCCACAGCATGAATCGGCTGGTGCAGGCATGGGATCACCCAAATTTTGATCACCCAGCTTACTTGTGGATCGAGCGTGTGCCCTCTTTCTCGAATATTGCTGATGGTCCCTCAAGGGGCGTGCCCGAAGAGGCCTTACACCTTACACGTACCAGCTCTTGCAGAACTTTTGAGACAGAGGCCGAGCTCGAAACTCTCTTGTTCAGCAGGCGCAGAAAGGAGATGGGGTGAGGGTGCGCCCAAGACTGTTGATGCTGGGAAATACCCGTTTGGGCATCGGTCTGTTGTGGGCTTCGACTTTCACCGCGATTCTCCCCCGCCTTTCAGTAAAAAGATGAGGAACGTGCGAGTGCTGTGAGCTGCTGTGCGTGATAACATTCTGAAGGCTATATGCCGGAATATATTGAGATTGACTTTTTATATATATTGGATTTGGCAAATTTTTGCCTTACGGTCGTTTAGCATATGACCATTGCTTGATATGCTTTGATCCGAGGGAAACAATCTTTTTAGGAGAAGGAAGCTTCGTGCTTCACGACGTCACTTTCTCCATAAAAAGTTTTTCCCCTTCTCTTTCTGTTTTAGTGCCCGTTTTGGGCGTTGCTAAAACACGAAGTTTGTCTTTGGAGAAGAATGATTTTTCATGTGACATGAACATGCAGTGCTGTCATCATGTCACATGAATCTTGTGAAATTTTGCCCCGTGCTGCCTTGACATCTCAAGTTCTGAAGGTGGGGCAAAATTCTTGCTTTTCCCGCCCGCCCGACCCAAAGTGGGGGTGAGGGTGCGCCCAAGACTGTTGATGCTGGGAAATACCCGTTTGGGCATCGGTCTGTTGTGGGCTTCGACTTTCACCGCGATTCTCCCCCGCCTTTCAGTAAAAAGATGAGGAACGTGCGAGTGCTGTGAGCTGCTGTGCGTGATAACATTCTGAAGGCTATATGCCGGAATATATTGAGATTGACTTTTTATATATATTGGATTTGGCAAATTTTTGCCTTACGGTCGTTTAGCATATGACCATTGCTTGATATGCTTTGATCCGAGGGAAACAATCTTTTTAGGAGAACGAAGAGTTTCTTGCCAAACATGCTTGTCGAACGAGGTTGCCATACTTCATGGTGATTCCGTTATACTGCGGGTCACCATCCTTCAGGATCTGAAGTATGATCTTAATCTGATGCTTCAGCAATCTTACAGCAGCTTCGGCCCTGTTGGGCCATGGTGTTCCAGGTCCTGTTGCTACAGGCTTGATATTCTGCCGATTGTAATAAGCCTCCATTTTTGGAGTCATGAATGCTTGATCTCCAACTACAACCTTTGGGTTGATCTGAAATTTCTCAAAGTAGTCATTCATAATCGACATTGTAGTATGCTCTTCTTTATCCTGGACTACTTCGGAAGTCAACAGGTTTGTTGCTCCGTCATAGAGAATAAGAAATATTAAGCGACTATTCTTGCCGGGAATTGGAAGCTCACCGTGATCTACGAAAGTGAGATCACCGAAAGTCTCTGATCTTAAACCGGAAATCTTCGCTCTTGAAGGAGCTCTCACGTGTTCCTGACAGGCTGAACACTTTTTGACCAGTTGGTCATATAGCTCATATATCTCCTTTGGGATCTGTAAGGCTTTCGTGCGTCGCTTGAACTGATCCGTACTCATATGACGGTGCTTAAGGTGAAGCTTATAGAGTTCTACAGGGTCCTTAAGCTTCTCATGAATCCTGCGAAGAGCAATGGGAAGAGATGGCGATGGTTCTGCGACAATCTCTTCACCTGTAGGTGAGTCTGTACCAGGAGCCGGGTATTCTCTTGACTCAAGTGGTCTTACCTCCGTCCCGTCATCAGCTCCTGGGACCATAGACTTCTCCTCAACAGGAGGTTTGACCGCATATTTGCGGGTTTTCTTCAGAAGGTTTTTAAGACCCTTTGGAGTCTTTGTCTTCGCAGGTGGAACCTCAAGTCTTTCTTCTTCTGGAGGTTCGTGCGGTGCAGATGGTTCTGCAGGTTTGTCTCTAGAGCCTGATGATGGTTCCGATGGTTCGGAAGGCTCAGGAGCATCACCAGATGGTTCTGGTGGATCAGGTTTCTTGGCAGATGATTCTGCCGGATCAGATGGAAGAGGCTTCTTCTTACCTGGAATGCCCTTCGGTGGTGGATCAGCTGCTCCTTCAGGTGCTTTGTCGCAACCTTTGAGGAACGTATGAGGCTTTTTCTGTCCTGCGCAGGCTGGACAGCGACCTTCCGGGATCTTAGTATAAGATCTTCTTTCTTCCTTTGGCTTCTTAGCTCCTAGAGCAGTCTCCGTCGCACTGAACGACGTACCTGACTTAGGGAGATACTTCCTGGTGGAAGTGAAGCCTAGAAGGTCCAATACCAAATGGTTATTGGTACTAATCGGAAGGGGGGTTTTGTACAAACCGAAAGCTTCACACGTTGCTAGGTCAGCTGTGGGACTACACTCGAGGGTCATTCTTAGATTCCTCATCTGTTCGATGGAGAACAAAATGGGAACTCTCCCCTGATCCAGAACTTCTATGGTTGTATCTCTTCTTGGAGTTGTGTTGAACCATAGAGTTACACGCTCCTTGATAAGAGCTGTTTCACTATCTGCGAAAGAGAACTTCGTGTTCGAAGGTGAGAAAGTGAAATCAATCATGCCTGGGGCACGTTGCTTCACGGCCTTGATAAGCCTGTTCACCGCATAGCGGGAACCCATAGCCCTAGTACAACCTGAGTCAAGTATGACAAAGGTAGGGTTCTTATCAAGATTGATCCGCTCTGTGAGAGCAGATAGGACGGTGTGCTGCAACGGAAACACCGCTGTTGCAGTTTCAACACCTTGCCCCTCGGATGGTTCAAAGACCTGGGGCACGTAACTCACTGATGAGTTGAACACGGGTTCTTGGTGCGCGCTCGGATCTGTGCCTCTACCTGATGATCCTGCTTGATTTCTTCTCTTCTTTCTCCGTGTTTTTCTTCGTGAGGCTTGTGATGCATAGTATGTATAAGACGTTTGATCGTCATAAGCGGCATAATTCCAACTGGAGTCAGTATAATAACTGTCCTCATACCATGAATCCCAGCTCGGTGCGGTGGAACTCTCATAGGCCTGTGGAGATCCAGTTTGGTCTCCTTGTAAGGAGGCAGACTTAGCTGTATCCTTACCCTTGCCTTTTGCCTTTGCGCCTTTGAAGGAGCTTCCTTTATCTCCTTTGTCCTTTCCTTTTCCTTTGCCTTTTCCACCTTTTCCTTTTTCCTTTCCTTTACCTTTACCGAAATAGCTGGAATCAGTTGGATCATGTTCTGCCTGGTTGGCTCTCCCTTTTCCGCGGTATGACCTAAAACGGCCACGTCCTTTTCGCTTGCCACCCTTTGCTCTTCCCGGTGATCCGGGACGCATTCTTGGTCTTCTTCCCTTTTTGAATCTCCTTGCAACGAAGGCCTCATGGTCATCAACTGTCCAGAAGACAGCTTCTTCATCCTCGGCGGCAAGAAAGCCTTCCTCAAGGGTGTCTTCGTCTTGGAGCCAGAATCCATCGACTCCATCGTATTCACCCTGATCGAGGATGAGGAAGTTTCGACCTCCGCGTTTGCGGCGTTGGTCTCTCCTTCCATGGCGGTCCTTCTTGTGAGAAGAGTGCCGAATGTTGGGATCCTGCAGACCAGTTCTGGTCGTTGAGAACTGATCGAACATGGTCTGCCGTACCACAGGGTACGTGTAGGTCTCAATTCGGTGACCTTGGTTGGTCAATGCTGTTACCAACCTCTCACGTTGCATCTCATTTAGGTCGGACTGCACTAGGAAGAGGAGAGCTAGGAGATTATCGTTCAGAGGAAACGCTCTTCGATGATTGTCAAGGCGTTCCTTGTTCCATGTTTCGAAATAGCGTGCGGCATATGTGTCTCTCTCGGCTGCATCCTGCATGCGCAAGAAGGTTTGGTCTGCCTGCACAGCTTGCATGAAATCTGGATGGGCATCCTCCAGAGCTATCTCTGGTAAGAGATCCATCCATGAGTTTTTCACGCGCTGTAGCACGATCTCAAACTTGGCAATCCAAGTCACAAAGTCTTGGTTGCCCTTCCATGCCTTGAATAGGCCGAGGAAACGCCACAGGAAAACGTACTGTTCTCCTTTCACGAAAAATGGACGCATCTTCTTCTTGAAGTAATCTACTCCATCTGGGGCTGCAAGCCTTTCTCGGTTCAGTGATTCCTTTTGTACTGCGGCCAATCCGGAGAGCCTCGTCTTGAGAGACGGACCTCTTTTGGTGTCATCCAGCGTTGTTATGTCGCACCAGTCGTCAATCAACTGTTCATACTCAAACCACGAGGTGGTGCCATCATAGGCAGGCGCGATCTTGGGCGTTATGCCTAATGATGCAAGCATGCGGTCAGATGTTGCATATGACTGTGCGACATAAGTGGCTGGACCTTGGGAGGTCTCTTCGTTCTCATATCCCCCGGAGGATTGGGAACTGTCGTCGGCTTCGCTATGCGAGCTCGACATTGTGCTGCCTCTTATCCGCTTGGTTAAGCGTTCGGCGAGGCCGACCGCTGTAGCGGACTTTGGGAGGCGGGCGGCCCTTTCCGGGCTCCGCTACCAGAAAACTGAGCCGATACACCCACAAGGAAATGCTCCTTGTTAGGAGGTGTATGACCAGTTTATTCCCTAAGGATCAAAGGGCAGCGCCCTGCACACGGACAGTAGTTGTTTTGTCTTGCTACGCAAGGAGAGCTTGTCTTGTCTCAATATGGTAAAACCACTGTGAGCCAATGGGCAGCGGAATGTATATGTATGAGCATGCAGCCATTGCTGTAGGTACCTGTTAGAGCTACCCCTTTAGAGGTTTACGCAAACAGGGGGGGGCAAAGGGTCGAAGCCTTTAAGCCCCCCTTAAAAGCCTCTTTAAAGCCCCCCTTTAAGCCCCTTTAAAGCCCCCCTTTAAGCCCCCTTAAGCCCCCCTTTAAGTCTCCCTTTAAGCCCCCCCTTTAAGCTCCCCTTAAGCCCCCCTTTAAGCCCTTCTTTAAGCCTTCCGGAAGCCCCCTTAAGCTTCCCTTTAAGCCCCCCACGCAATCACACACACACACAAAACAAGAAGAAGAAGAGGCCACACGAAATCGTTTTATGGGGGGTTTTTGCAAAGAAATAAGCCTTCTCGCTTGCGAGACAGCATTTTATTTCCCAAACTATTCTCTGTCGGTGTCGCCTTTGCTAATTTTTGATCTTTATGATTTGCTGGCGACTTGTCTTTGGCATTTGATGCATTGTGACGATTGACCACTTGCTCAACATTCACGCTTGATGTTGCAGTTTTGGCTGTGTGCAGCTCATGAGAAATTTTTGTGAGGCTCTCTAGAGGCTGTATTGCTTGCTAAAAGCCCCAAGGTGCTAACTCAAAGGCTGGGATTAGCCCGCTGTGCAAGACTGCCCGTTGTGGGGCAGTCGGATGGACTTCGCAGAAGCTTTAGGTTCCAGTGTGCCCAGTGACAGCGAGTCTCCCAGTACTGTGAGCGTAATCAGCAGGCATCTCTACGAGCTTCAATTGCAGGTTAACACTCTTGAGGCCCACGTGTCTGCTTGTCAAAGGCGCATCAGGCAGTTGGAGCAGCAGCTTCAGTCATCGCCAGGATCTGCATCAGAGGTCACGTGGGCCGCTTCGCTCAGCTCGTTTTGCGCTTGCTTTTCTCGTCGCTAGAGCAGCTTCACCGCATGCCGCCTGCTGGCGAGCCGATTAGTTTCCCCGGCCTCTCCTCTTCTGCGGGGGGGGGGGTGAGGCGAGGCTCTGTGACACTGACATTGATCGCATGTTGCTTCAAGCCAGGATCAGTGGTCTGGGCAATTCTCTCCCTAAGTTGCCTTGGGAATCGGGTGTCATGTCTTGCATCTTTGGAGATGGCTTATTACCCAAGCCTGCCATTGCACAGCGCAGGGCGCCCGCTCCTCCTGATGCCTCCGGTTCCGAACCCTCGACCGAGGGCAAAGCAGCTCGTGTGCGTGCTGCACCTGCCAGCTTGTTTGAGAGATCTTTTCATACGAGAGCAGATGTGCCAGTTGAGGACGAGGAAGAGCATTTGTGGGTTTTAGCTATCAATAAGTGGTGCTGCATCTTCACCCTTGCCAATGAGGATCCCGGTTCAGTCGGTGTGCAGGCTGCGCAGTGTTTGGTTGCAGAAGGTGAAAAGGCCAGGGACGAGTTGCTCAGGGACGTCTTCGGCCTGCGTTCGCCCCGTACGGCGATCAAACGCGCCAATGCTCTGTTGCGATGTCTCAGGTGGCATCAAAAGGAGAGAAGTGTTACATGGCCGTGGGACAGAGAGTCTGTTACTGCCTTCGTGAAGTCACTTGGAGAATCTTCAAGCGCGGTGAGCAGTCTCTTTGAGGCCATCAATTTCGCTCACCATGTGATGGATGTGCCATTCTGCGATGATCTGCTTAACGACCGACGGCTGCAGGGCAGGGCCCGGAGACTTGCGGGTGAAAAACCCGAGGTGAAACAACAGGAGCCCCTGAAAGTTGAGCTTGTGGCGAGGCTTGAAAAGGCTGTGGCTGGCGAGGCTCTTTGTGATGTTGATACATATGTTCTTGGGGGCGAGCTGTTCGCTCTTTACAGCAGATCGAGATGGTCGGACCTGAAGAAAGTTAATTCGATCTGGATCGACTTCGATGATGCTGATTGTACCTCAGGTTTCGTCGAAGCGAGGACATGCGAGCATAAGACCAGCAACACAGTGCGGACCAAGCGTCGAGCCATGCCGCTTGTTGCACCCTTCCCAGGTGTGACCGATGCCAATTGGGTCAAGGCTTGGTGGCAGGCGGGTCAGAGGCTTGGGGTTGATTGGTCGGTAGTGCCTTTTGGGCCCCTCGTGCGTGCCCCGGACAGCTCCGGCAAGCTGTGTAAGAGGAGGTGCACCTCCAGTGAAGCAGGCTCGATGCTTTGCAATGCCCTAGGCTTGGAAGGCGAGAGCCGTCGCACGTCTCATGTGCTCAAAGGGACAACCTTGGCCTGGACAGGGAGACGGGGCTTTGGAGAGCGCGAAGGCCTTTTGCTAGGTCATCACGCGACAGGTTCCAGTTCACTTGCTTGTTACAGCCGAGAGTTGCTGAGCGCACCGCTGAGGGCTTACCGTAGAATGTTATGGGAGATACGCACAAACATTTTCAAGCCCGATGCAACCCGTTCGGGGTGGCTTGCCTCACATGCTGACGAGAATCTGCGTGCCTTTCGGGATTCCTTCCTCGATGACCCCAAGGATGCATGCCCCTTCGAAGCTCCGACCGTGCAAGCTGAGGGTCCTGCAGCTAGCGGGACGGGACAAGGAGATGATCTCGATGAACACGGCGAGTTGGAGCACTACCGCTCACTCAACCGTGCCCCTGACTCATCGGCATTTGAGCATGATCCAGACTTCAGTTCTTGGGATCGGGTTGATAACGGTTCAGCAAGCCCACCTTCAGAACATTCGCCGACGCCCGGGGATTGTGCACCGTCTCCGATTGTGCATGCAAGTAGTGTGCCTGCGACACCTATGCAGGAGGCTGCCTTGGCGCAGACGAGCTCATCCTCCTCTTCGAGCTCTAGCTCTTCAGGTGACAGTGAAGATGAGGAGCAGTTGGTTTCGAGTTGCGGAGTCAACCAGGACTATGAGATCAACGAACCTTGTTGGCAACACGTCAAATCCAGGATGTTGCATCGAGCCCAGGGCGACCAGTCAGCATGTAGGACCCGTTGTGGTCGACGGACGACCACGGTGTACAGGTGGCTTGAGGGTGCTTACTTTAAGTGGACTAGGTGCGCAGTGTGCTGGAAGGGAGAACTGCTGGACTCCCAAGGGGCTTTGGCCAACAAGCTCAATGAGCTTATGGATCGTAGCTAGTGTGAGCTGCGTATGAAAATGTTCTTGAAGTGCGGATGCGACTGTGTGCAGTCTGATTTGCCCATGCTGTGTGCAGCATGTGCTGTTTGAGTGAATGCACCATTTAGTGGATGCCTTACTGTGCTTGGGCAATGGTCAGCACCAGTTCATGATCTTTGTGAATGCACCAGTTATGGCTGAGGCCTATGGTAGACATGTCATGTCCATGCTTTTGTCTACTCGCTTTGTTTCAACAGCTTGTGTGCATTCGGACCAGGCGCTTGCATGTTCTCTCTAGATCAGGCCTGGACCCTTGTTGACACATTGTACTTCACAGCAGTGTAGAGATTGGTGACCTTGCGGGATGGCGGCGGTTTCAATTCTTACTTCGGCTGCAGCCTTCGACAAGCAATGTGAAAGGGTGGGCTTGGCAGCGGATTGGATCGCTGCCATGAAAGCTTCAGGCATCACTACGCTGGGCAAGTTGAGCTATGCAGTATCGCTCCCAGGAACGCAACCGACGGCCGACGAGATGGATAGCTTCACTGCTACTTTGAGGCCCGGGGCGAGAGTCAATTTGGGCGACAGCTCCGCAATGAAACAGCTTATCTTCGAAGCCCAGACCATGACAGTGGCAGAGCTCCGAGCTACCATGCAATCCGGTGAGGATGTGTCTCGGAAGCTTCCGGCATCGGAGCGCTCAATGCGCATCGAGGATCAGAAGCAACGCCTCAAAGGCCTCCCGCTGGAGGGCCCTTTGTCCGTAGCCCATTGCGTGTATGACAAGCTCGCAAACATGCGCGAGAACGACGAACTGAAGTACCTCTCCCCCGGCGAGTGCATCACCCGTGATGCTGAGCTGTGTTGTGAGAAGCCTCCCAAGGCCTTGCAGCTCGACGCTAATAAGATGGGCATCGTGGTGAAGGATGAGGAAGCCCTGGCCACCATGTCAGTGGACAGCGATTTGCAACTTTACCAGGCAATGATGAGGCGAGCTTTGGCCATGGACCTTGTTGGTTTAGCTTCTTATGAGACGGTGCAGAAGTGGAATGAACGGCTCTTCCGCATCATGAGCCAGGACCCGCCACCGGAGTTCCAGAAGGTCTCGAGGGCACAGGTGCTGAGGGCAGATCGGCAATGTTTCTTGGAGCTTGCCCGCACGTGCAATGGGAACCTGAAGCCTGATGCAAGGGGCGTGCTCCCGCTCGACAAGGAGTTTGAGAAGCTGGAGTACAACCAATCGGTCATGTATTTTCTGCTACCTGTCAAAGGTAAGGGCAAGGGCTCCGGCAAGCCTGGCGACAAAGGCAATGGAAAGAAGCGCACTAGCGACACACCAGGGGATGGCAAAAATAAGAAGTTGAAGATCACCCGCGACCCAATACCAGATGCCTTGAAAGGGATGCACTCGCGGACGCCTGACAACAAACCCATCTGTTTCAATTTTAATCTTGGAAAGTGCAAAGCGGGTGCGAAGTGCAAGTTCAAGCATGTGTGTTGCAAGCCGGGCTGTTACAAATCGCATCCCATGTCCGAGCATGACTCGGCCACTTCTGAGTGACATGCAGTGTGCACAGGTGATCTCATTGCACATGCTGATCCCGAAGAGTCTGAGGCACCTGTGCAACAACAGCGCCAGCCGTCAGATGACGGCAAATTTTGCAGTGCAAGCGCATTTTGCGTTGAAGTTTTTGCTCGTCGTGCCTGCTTGTGTGGTTGTCTCCGAATGGGGTTGCCGAATTCCTTTGCAGTTGGCAAGGGTTGCTCACAGGCAGCCGCGGCACCGGTTGTTCCAATGGATATTTTGTCTCCGGGTGGCCTTGCCCTTTGTGCGTCATGGGCCCGCGAACTTTCATGTGCTTGGGTGCATATCAGGTGCCCTCGTTCTATATTTCCAAATCGTCAGAAATCTCCGCATCCTTCTTGTGACAATGCTGACCGCTGTGTGTATGCAATCTCTCAGCTTTTGAAACACTGCAATGATACCGAAACGCCTTGGACGGTGGAAGCTGCATCGAGGTCGTCGTTCTGGACAACTGACTTGGGTAAGAGCTTGATTAAATCTTCGGTTGACATTGATCTCAATGCCTTTGGCTCCCCAACACCCGGTTGCATTCGGTTTGCATCCTCCCTGCCACTTGTCCTTCGATCTTGTGCGAGCTTGGCGACTGCCAGTCGCCAAAAGTCTTCCACTGATGTTGCTTTGGGGCAGCTCTACCGTGCGCTCGCATCAGTCATGCTCGAGCATCTGCATGTTCGCACTCCGCAGGTTCCACCACTTGCTGCAGCTCAGGTTGCGACGGGGATGCAGCCACGCAAGTTCCCTCTGGCCCCAGTTCCTGAATTTAAGCGTTTTGTGCAAATTGCTGTGCCGCAATGTCCACCCCTGGACTCCAAGAACCGGCTGCTGACCACTCTTCGCGTGCAGGACACTGTTGTGCCTGCTGGTTCCAAGCTTGTGCCGCCTCTTTCTCGACTGGCTGCCGATCGTGTAGAGGGGGAAGGTTTGATCTGCAACCAGGTGCACCGTACTTCGCAGGCTGGAGCATCGCTCGCCGAACACAATCCAGACGCTTCGGACGCGTCGAGTGGTGTGAATCAGGCAGCACCCCCCCCTTGTGGTTCCGCCGGTGCCCTCCCTTCCTCTTCGGGTCTAGTGGGTGCTGCCTGTGATAGTGTTCATCCCTCTTGCGATGCCGATATGCCCCCTCGCATGCAGTCTGTTGGGCGAGCAGCACCTTCCAGTTGTGGTTCTCCCGCCTTCCCCCTTTTCCCCTTCGGGTGTAGGCGGTGCTGCTCCATTAGCTTTAAGCCCCACATGTTCAGGCTCGCTGGTATGTGCGACCGAGTGTGAAGCAGAGATGCTGGCCTCGAATCTTGGTGCTAGAGTTGATGCCAGCAGCCTTGTCAGTATATTCGAAACCTTACCAGCTGAAGTGCCAGCACGTGGCGTTGATGATGCTCGTGAGAAGGCTTGGACCGCGGGAGCTTATTCCCAGAACAAGCTATGTGGCCTGCGGAAGCACACCAGAGCTTTCCCTCGTGTTGTCTCTGCCGCGGTCAGGTACTTGCGTACATGCTTCCCAGATGCATGCTTCGCGACGATTGCCTTTTACTCCAACGTTTGCACTCCGATGCACAGGGATGCAAACAACTTGGAGGGCACGCTGAACTATGTTGCTCCCCTCACATCTTTCAAAGATGGAGGCATTTGGGTGCAGGATGATGGGGGCACTCACTCCCGGATGACGCCATGCGGCCAATCCACAGGCCGTGTATTGCAAGTCTGCGAGGGCCCCGTGCATTTTGATGCACACCGCTTTCATTGCACCTTGCCTTGGCTCGGATCAAGAATCGTCCTGATCGGCTTCACTCCGAGAAATCTTTCGTCGCTGAAGCAGAGTGACACTAGACTTCTTCTAGACCTGGGCCTTCCGCTGCCGGGTCACAACCCCCCGATCCTGCCAGCCATCGCGGCGCCTCAGGTTGACGGGGCTGACACTCCACAAGTTGAGCTTGCCGAGGAGCGGGATCGAGAGCTGTGTACCTTGACGTTTGGCGTGTATCATACTGAAAGCGAGTTCGTGCGTGCCGCCGTGAAGGCGGGTCACCCTAAAGCAATGGTTGACTCGTTGCCAGCACATCTTGAATCTTGCATAGATCTAGTGTCGAAGGCCCCGCCGAGTGCCATCGTCGAGCGGCGCAAGCAGTGGCTGGATAAGTGGACCGCCCGCGCCGCTGAGATAGGTGTGCGTCCCGACCCTATCTGGGAAGTCGAGGACCCGCACATGAGGGAGGTGCTGCGAAGCAAACGACTACAGCTGTTGGATGAGATTATCGCGAGCGAGGGCTATGAGGATGTGAGCTTGGCCAGTGACATAAGATCGGGTTTCGACCTAGTGGGGACCTCGCCTGTGTCGAACGTGCTGCCTGGGAAAGTGTCTCCAGCATCCCTTCACCCTGACGATGTCAGCGCTGCCGCGGGTCGCGCAAATGAAGCCCTTCGGATGTCGCTTGGTTCATCGGGGGATCATGCCACTGACTTGAAGTTGTGGGAAAAGACCATGCAGGAGGTAGACAGGGGCTGGCTTGTGGGCCCATATGGTTGGGACGACCTGCCCGACGGGTATGTCGTATCGCACCGCTTCCCTTTGTGGCAACACGACAGATTGCGGCCCATCGATGACTACAGCCGCAGCGGGGTGAATGCATGCGTGACCACCCTAGAGCAGCCCACAGTGGACACGGCGGACGTGGCGGCCGCCATGTTTGCCAAACTGTGCGAGGGACTCGGGAAGGCCAAGCGACCCTCCTGGATCAAGGGCCGTTCTTTCGACTTGACCGCTGCATATCGGCAGCTGTGTGTCTCCACTGCCTCCAGGAAGTTTGCTGTGATTGCCGTTTACAACCCTCACACGGGGAAGACATGCCTTTTCACACAGATTTGCCTCCCGTTCGGTTCCCGAGCATCGGTCAACGGCTTTATCAGGTGCTCTCGGTGCATCCAATGGTTAGCGACGCGCTGCCTCCTTGTACCGACGACTTCATATTACGACGACTTCATAGTAGCGTCGCCCGACTGCCTAGCAGACAATACAGGAAGCACGATGGAGCTACTGTTCCAGCTGTTAGGTTGGGTGTTCGACACAGTGGGCCCGAAAGCCGACACCTTCTCTCGGGATGTCTCGGCTCTTGGATTGCACTTTGACTTGTCTGAGAGCGGGGGTGGTGTCGTTACCGTGGACAACACCGAGAAGAGGAAGAGGGACATCCATGCTTTGGTTTCGGACGTGCTTGCCAAGGGCCAGCTCTCTTACAAAGGTGGCATGGAGTTGCGTGGCAAACTTGCTTTTGCAAACTCGCAGGTTATGGGTAAAGCCGGGCATTACGCCCTCAAGCATGTCAGCACACACGTGCATGCATACCCTTTCATGCCGAAGTTGAGTGCTGCCACGACCGACGCATTGAGCTTTCTGATGGCTCGCATACTTGAAGGACAACCCAGAAGGATTCATAAGCCGCTAGGCCTGCCATGGTTCGTGTACACTGATGCCAGTTTTGAGCCTGACTATACCGGAGGTTTAGGTGGTGTGCTGATCTCGCCTTCGGGTTCCGTAGTCGGGTGGTTTTCACTGCTCCTGGAGAGCGCCGACATTCGCCCTTTGCTGCCCTTGAAAGCGGAGACAGGCATCGGCGAGTTGGAAGCGATAGCGGTTGTACTTGCATTTCAGCTGTGGGAGGAACACTTGAAGTCCACCGAGTGCGTGGCATACCTTGACAACGAAGGCGCACGATGTTCGCTGATCAAGGGCTGCTCATCGTCTTGGTCTATCACGCGGATCTGTCACATCTTCGCTAAGACTTGTGAATCGCACACGGTGCTGCCCTGGCTAGCACGTGTCCCGTCGTGCAGCAATGTGGCAGACCACCCCAGTAGAGGTAAGGACTGCAGTATGCTTCCTCGCAGTCGCGCATCGACAGAGCCTTGCGTGAGAGCTCTTTTCGACAGCTTAGTGCAATCCATCATAACCCTTCCCTAGCCGTCATCTTCTTGAGTGGGGTGGGTGAGTGATGACGGTGTGCCGGTCATCTTGTTGGATGTGTGCATCCTTGCTGGTGTGTGCACCTTCTTTAGCTACGGACTCACCAGACATACCCCGCTTTGGATTGAAAAAGAAGGTGTCCGACTGCCTCGCTTCGTTGCACTTGCTGTATGTGTACCTTACCTGAATAGTTGGATTGCACTTGCTGTATGTGTACCTTACCTGAATAGTTGGAAATAAATAAGCCTTCTCGCTTGCGAGACAGCATTTTATTTCCCAAACTATTCTCTGTCGGTGTCGCCTTTGCTAATTTTTGATCTTTATGATTTGCTGGCGACTTGTCTTTGGCATTTGATGCATTGTGACGATTGACCACTTGCTCAACATTCACGCTTGATGTTGCAGTTTTGGCTGTGTGCAGCTCATGAGAAATTTTTGTCCCGCCCGCCCTCCCCTGGGGTGGGTGAGTGATGACGGTGTGCCGGTCATCTTGTTGGATGTGTGCATCCTTGCTGGTGTGTGCACCTTCTTTAGCTACGGACTCACCAGACATACCCCGCTTTGGATTGAAAAAGAAGGTGTCCGACTGCCTCGCTTCGTTGCACTTGCTGTATGTGTACCTTACCTGAATAGTTGGATTGCACTTGCTGTATGTGTACCTTACCTGAATAAAATAAATAAAATGAGAAAAGCAAACTTAATGAAACAAAACACAATTACAAGCCCGCACGCAATCACACACACACACACAAAACAAGAAGAAGAAGCCACACGAAATCGTTTGATGGGGAGTTTTTGCGAAGAAAAAATGAGAAAAGCAGACTTCACGAAATTGCTTTTTGGGGCGTTTTGCAAAGAAAATACAATGTAGCACCCATACTTTGAAGGCTTCAACCCTTTTTCATCCCCCCCACAAGCTCTGCCTGATGGCACGCGCCCAAGGTTCCGGCTAGGGCACCCTCGGGCGCAGGAACGTTGGAAGGCGGCGGCAGATGAGTTCCTCAGAGAAGGGGGTCTCGGGCCCGGCCTCCAACTTCCCTGCATTTCCACAGAGCTCATGCCACACCTTCATAGTGAGGACCACGATATCCACCAGTATTCCTTTTCACGTTTGAAGGAAATGTACACTGCCCGAAATTACCAGATGCTTTACCTATTGAACGAGAGTCATTCCCCTCGAATGGGCGCGACATGCAACGCCTGCTAGACAGCTGGCCGTCCGATGAGGCGTCCGGCTCTGCCCGGTGATCTTTGTTCATCCCGATTGTGACAGACGACATACGTCGTTATGTCTTGTTTTGGCCTTCGGTGATCCCTTGCCGGAGCAACACGGGACTAATGAAAGGCAGGCGACCGCGGCGTCCCGACCAGTCACGCCGTGTGGAGCCACCGGGACGCCGACATACGTCGATGTTCGTTCTCAGTGACACCGGATTGGTTTTCCTCCTTGCCGGCCGTATGCCCGGGGGAGGGACACCAGCCAGCGTGGCGGTGTCCATGCTGGGTCCTCAATGCGGCGGGTTGCATTAAGCTGCCGGCATGCGCCGTACATCGATCTGCGCTGTGCTCTTCTCCCCTCGGGACTTCTAACCTTACCGGCACGTCGACATACGTCGATGTCCGTTATTGACATGGTTTGGCCTTCCCTCTTGCCTTGGTAGTGCGTAGAGCAAGGATCCGGCCAACGCCATTTCTCGGGCTTCGACATGCTCAACGGCAGGCATGGGCAGAACCCCGCACCTTCCCTCTATTGCACTCAGTAGGGTGCATTTTGCTACCTGGTGGATCCCTTGTTTGGGCCTTGTTGCACTCGCCAAGCAGCCTGGGACGCGTGGATGCTGGCCTCAGCACGGCCAGACTCTTACCATGACCTCGGCTGTCTGGGGCGACCTAATTGGCCTCCTCCATGCATTGCATCGGCGACACACACACACCGTGTGCGCTCAGTCTGCACACCTGCCGATTTTGACTTTGCGCATTGTAGAGGAAGGGGGGGGGAACCTTGGCCGCCCTGTTCCGTGGTTGCGGCACGCCGCCAGTTGTCCTTGAACACAGTTGGTGCAGCTGTCATCAAGCGGGTTCTCTTCCTCACCCGCCTCCCGGTCGAAGCCGCTTCTCAACCGCGTCTTCATATCTAATTGCTGGACCTTGGCTGCAATTGCTGCAGTGAACAAGTCCTCGTCCGAACCAGTTAGGATGCCCAAGGCCCTGAGGCAGGCCCCTTTTTCGGATCAGGCCCAGAAAAGCCTATGACAATGATCTCTGTGCCGTCATAGTCTTCGCTGTCGTTACGAATCCAAATTTGTCCGAGACTAGGCGCAGCTTCCTTCATGGCATCGGCAACCTGCTTTGCAGCTGCGGACGCGTCGTCCATGTTGCCCAGCTTCCCTGCGCGCCTCGAGTCCAGCCGCCATGCCGAGCGGACACCTGGGCAAGCGAGCAGGGCAACAAGGGTTGGAATGGAATGAGCCACTGCACGGAGGATTGCGCCGGGTGCAAGCTCGAAGCCACCAGCATCAGGTCGCGGCAGGGGGGGGGGGGGGCCCGTCCCATCTGAGCAGCCGCATCGCCTTGCCTTGGCCCAAGCCTCGTCATGGGCGACCCGTTGCCGTTCTCGGAACGTTCTTGAGTTGCGCTGTGCTGGGTCTCGACGCACAACAAGTTTTCCCTACAGCCCGCATCCTGGCCTGGCCACACGCATTGTGGGCGATTGGCGGCGTTGGACGCCAGCATCCAATTCGCCACTGTTGCACACCGTGGATCGATTGTTTTCGTCCTCGGGGTGCGGTCGCATCTGGCCGGCATTGAGTCGCAAAGACTCTGGCTCCGCATCATGTCTAGAAGCCGCTCGCCACGGTGGGCGTTGGCCTTTTGGATTTTGGTGTGCTCGATCGTGATGAAACAAAGCACAGGGGCTGTCCGTTGTCTGTCGAGACTAGAACGGCTGCCGGAGCTTGGATTTGGCTCCACCTGCTGCTTTGGGCGGCTCAGAGCGTCGGCTCTTTGTTGCTTCGGATCGGTCGCTGTGGCTTCGTAGTTTGCTGAACGGCTTCCACCGGCAAAGCCTACATCGATCTGCGCTGTGCTCTTCTCCCCTCGGGACTCCTAACATTGCCGGCACGTCGACATACGTCGATGTCCGTTATTAACATGGTTCGGCCTTCCCTCTTGCCTTGGTAAGTGCGTAGAGCGAGGATCCGGCCAACGTCGTTTCTCGGGCTTTGACATGCTCAACGGCAGGCATGGGCAGAACCCCGCACCTTCCCTCTATTGCACTCAGCAGGGTGCATTTTGCTATGTGTGGATCCCTTGTTTGGGCCTTGCTTGGAATCCTGGTTGTTTTATAAGTGGTTAACATAGTTATGTTAGTTAGCTAAAAAGTTAGGTGGAGTTAGCTTATGTTATAGACATCAAAATTGTAGAAGTAACTTGTGTGTTTTGGCATTGAGGTTTAGGCTAGGGACTCTGATATGAGAAGACACTTCATGGAGCATAAACACTGGTATCGGAAATGAAATATATAAAACATGTAGCTTGTCAAACAAATTTAAAGCAAAAATACATGTCAATGGCCTGCATGGACAGGCTGTCGTGCATGGCCTATAGGGCTAAAAATGTCATGTGCATGTGGTACAGCCTTGTGGCGGATTGAGAAGCACTGTTTTTCAAAGCCTGTGGTACAGCTGGTACGGTAGCAGCACAGTGGCCTCCCTCTCTGTGGTCTTGCTGTACACCATTGGGTACAGCAAGGAGTCCATGGACACGAAGCCTTGCTCGTTGGTGATGGAGCACTTGGCGAACTGCTTTGTCTTCTGTGTCTCTGTTGGCCTCCAACGTTGGACGAGTGTGGCTTTGTCGCCTCCAAGCTCCAAATGGAAAAGCACTTGGCCCATGTCCCATCTTCCGTCTTCCTGGTGGAACACCACGACGTCGTTGGCATGGATGGCACCACCCCTTGCGAGCCTCGCGATAGAGGCAACCATGGCTTCAGTTGCTGAGCAATCCACAAACTGGTTGAGGAATTGCAGCTGGTGCTTGTTGGGCTTCTTTGGCTTCACCAACTGGCAGGAGTCTGGAAACAGCCCGGCCTGTGTCAAAGTGGTGATCTCGGTGGCGAGCACCTGGTTGAGCAAGTGGATCTCGAAGGCGGCTGTTTTCTGGAGCCTTGTGGCGAAAGCAGATATGGTTTTGTGCTTTCGTTCGCTCGTAAATGTCGATGGCAGGCACCCATGCCGTTGGAGAATATCAGGCAAGTGGAGCAGCCAGTGCCACTTCCGCATCAGTGGCACGTCGAAGTTGGCCTGTTGGAAGGTCTCGATGGATTCTTCCGCAGCCCTGAGAAGGCTGGCTCTGGTGGTGGCTCCATACATGACCCCTTGGTGAACCTGGTCGATCAAGCAGGCCTGGCTCAAGAAAGCTTGGCAAGCCTCTGGGCAGATTCCGCTTGACACAACAACAGAATGCAAAAAATGGCGAATGATTGGATAAAGCCCTAGGAGGTCCGAAGCTTGGCAACTGAACTTCTGGCTGCTCTTGTACTTGGCGACCTTGCTTGTGTCGAACAAACCAGCCAAGTGACCGGCCTTGGAAGCACCTGGAAAGTTCCACATCCTTATGTATGGGCCCATGGCCTCCCAAATGTTGTAGTGCTCGGAGATGGCTTGGAAGCTCTGGAACAGCACGACTGGGGCCGTTCCTTGCAGAATGCCGTGCATCCAGTCATGGCAGAACTGGCTGACTGGCTTCACTTGGTTCTTCGCCAACAAAGTCTGGTTCAGGAGCAAGGCCTGGGGATTCCAGGTCCAACCGGTGGCTTGTTGCCATTGCGAGAATTCTGCTTTGGTCCTGCACGTGGCTCGCCTTTCGTCTAATCTGCGGTAGGACTGGATGACGTCTTCATCAGTGGTCAAAACCAATTGGCTGTATTTGGTCGTGCGGTGGTCCATGATGTCGTGGTTGTCGCCTGTGGGTGGTCCTGAGTGGATGTTGGCGCATAATATGCAAAATTTGGTACCAGAATCACCTTTGGAAGACCAAATCTGCTTATGGGCACCGCCGTCTGCCAGACATATGGCCCACCGGAAATGGAGCCGGACATCGGAACCTGGGCCATGTGGGGATTTCAACACAAACCCTGCCAATGGTTCCACGTGGGCATTGGCGAAAATGGTTTCCAAGATCTTGGACATGATCTGGCAGATGCCGCCCTGGACATGGCTCACGAAGTTGGACCTTTCAAGAGAGATGGTCAGCCAGAGGTCCTCGTGGTGGAGGAATTGGTCCATCTCCCTGAAGCTGGCATAAATGGCCCAAAATTTACGTTGGGCAGGTCCTAAGACGTTTCCTGGTATCACCTCATCTGCATAAAGTATAAGTTGCCATGGCTTGGAGACGGATGATGGGTTGGCTCGGTGCTTCCTTTGGATCAGATCATGGAAGCTTCCACCCATCTGGAAAAGACTGGCCAGGTAAACCAAGAGGTTGGCAAAGTACATGGTGACTTTGGCACCATCATCGGTGGTGACCTCTGCTTCTTGGATCAAAGGACCCAGTAGCCCACCATGGCAGCTCTGTAGAAGCTCCTCCCTGGCTTTCCGCTGGTCATTGGAAGAGCTCTTCTCTGGGAGGCCTTGTTCCTTGGCGACTTCCACAAAAGCAGCCAGTGCACTTTGGGAGTGACCTGGCAAAGCAGCTTTGAAGGTCAGCAGCTGCTGCAGTTTGCTCTTCTTCTGTGGAGGTTCCATGGCCAAAAATGGCTGAGAGTGGGTTTGGGGGCAAGGGCAGTGGCAATGTGCTTTGCTTCACATGGGAATCAATGGTATGTGTGCTATATGGATGAAGGCTGCATCCCTGTCTATATAGGCTGTGGATGTCAGACTCACATGCATGGACCTCTTCGTGGGAGAAGTCTGGAACCTTCGTTGCTGAAGCGATGGCGGGCACAGTGCGTCAACAAAGACCTCGGAAGTGCATATATACACAGAAACAGCATGCTGCAGGATGGCCACGGCATGGCTTCAAAGAATCACTTTGTCCAAAGACATGCAGGCGGTCTTTTTGCTCGTGTCGGCACGGTGCACCCTGCCTGGGCTGTTGTGGCTTCTTGCTACCCTGCACCTGGGCCCCTTGGTGCTGCCCTGCAAGAAAACAAACTGCCTGGAACCATGCCTGGCAATACTTCTTGGGAGCCGTCTTCATGGCCTTGTTGGCTTTGTGGGCCTCGATGTACTCCCTCCAAGCTTGGCGGCCGTGGAGACGGGTGCCCCGAAAGTTTGGGTCCCAACAACTGGAGCATCCCTTAACGTTACCACGACAGCGGATACATCCGTAGAGGATCTTTGTGCTGCCGCCTTTGGCGGCGGTGGCACCTTTGCCAGCCTCATGGCCGTTGCAGGTGGTGCCCTGGTTCGCCGAGCTTTGTCGGGTAGACATGGCTGCTGCTGGCCGCTTCATATGCTGTTTCTTGGGCTTCTGGTCGGCCTGGCCGTCCTCCTTGGCCTTCTTCTTCTTGTCGGCCTTGGCATCCAGCAGCTTCTGGAACTGCTCCTGCTCGTACTCCTGCAATGTCTTGGCGTCCTTGCAGGGTGAAATGCTGCAGAACAACCCCGAATAAGCAGTATGGAAGGAAACTAAACAAAAATATACACGTGTCCTGCTTGGCACTGTCTTCCTTGGCAGTCGTCTCCGTGGGAGCTGCTTCGACTCTGGTCGTGGCTTCAGGAGGCGGGCTTGCCGGAGGAAGTGGCAAAGCAGCGGCAGATGCTGTGCTCTGGCCAAAGACCTGGCCAGGGGCAGTTGTGCTGGCAGCACTCTGGCTGTGGGACTGGACCATGCTTCGCGGCGACAGCCAAGGCAACACTGCTGTTGCTGCGGCGGTGGGCCCTTGGCTTCCCTGCAGAGTGGCTGTGCCTTGTGTGGCTGCTTGGGCTTGGATGCCATGCCGCAGCTTCAGCATTTCCAGCTCCTGGTCGAAGCTTAAGGTGGAGCCCTGAGGTGTCGCTGGAGGCCGCTTGGACCTGCACCTGGTGCCGCCGGCCAATGAAGCATGGGTGCTTCGAAGAGGCACCTCGGGGACGAAGACGTAGAAATGTCTACATGCATGCAAGAAACAAATGCAACACGGAACAGATCCAAGTTATGCAACCAAGGGGCTTTCTTCAAAAATGGAGCCAGGCATGGGTCCTGCAGATCTGGCTGGTCGCCTGGACCATAGGCCTTGGAGAGCCAAAGCTGGCCCATCTCTGATGGATGGTCTGGATATCTGCTGGCGCCGGGGCAATTGCTGCTTGGCAGGGACTGGAAGATGATTCCGAAGTCCTGGACTGCCGAGTTGATGGCAGCTGCCGAAAGGCTTGGCTTGCCTTGCGAAGCTTGCACCATCAAGACAATGGCGACCGCTTGGCCCTTGGTGCATTCTTTTAAAGAATGCAGTCCCATGGCTCGGAGTCTTTTGGCTAAGAGCTCCAGCTGGTCCGTTTGGCTCGTGAGGGTGGACAAAGCGACCCAGTCTGGCCTGGTCAAGTATGGACACAGCCGCTGGACGGACTGGCCAGTGTTCACCAACTTGAGCTGGGAGCCGGTGTTCATGGACAAATTCTGGATGGTGTCCAGAATCTTTGCTTTCATGGCCTCTGGCAGTTTGGAAGCTTCGCCGGCCTTGGCAAGCATTTGGCAGATGCTCTCCGAGGACCAGGACTGGAATCCCTGGATCTTAGCCATGAAGGTGTTGGCCATGCTCTCGGTGACTGGTGAGTCTGGCAGCATCTCGGCCAGCTTCTGGAGATGAGCAATCTCCTCGACGAAGTCTTGGCACCCGTACCGCTGCATGGCCCTGAGAAGCACTGGCTGCTCACACTGGCCTGGTCGGGCTGAATGGCCTAAAAGGCTGCAATGAAGAAAGCATGGGAAACAAACACAAAGGAATGCGACTTGAAATGAAGTTCAGAGAGAGATATATATATATATAGTATAAATATGTGTTCATGGCCAGTTGGCTGCTTCGAAAAATAGGGTGCTGGCCACATGGCTCGCAAAGCATGGTATGGCCGATTGGCTTGCATGCAGATCATGGCAGAGCACTGAAAGCTTTCTTTTTGGCAGCGACCACTGTGGCAGCTGTGGTTTCACGTGGTTTGTCTGGAAGAAGCCATGGTCGTCCTTGGTCCTGGCAGGAGCAAACTGCATGGGTCATCTTTGTGAATGGACACACTGGCCTTGTGGTCACTGGAGACTTCTGTAGCGATCTGGCATGGCCGTTGGAGTGGTGGCCCCAGATCTCTCCATCTGGTCCAGTTGGTCCTGGACCCAGGCCCCGAACTTGGGCTCCCCCATGTACCTTGGGCCAAGTGGTTGGCAGGCTTTACCACTGAATGGCTTAAATGGCAACAAAAAAGATTGGGAGGTTTCCGGATCAAGCCTATGCTGCATGCTGTTATTGTTATTGTAGAATGAAAACTATGGAATCTATATCTGGTCGAGCTGCCACTGGATTTGTCTCTGGGCTCGTCCATGGTCGTCCTTGGCAATGGCTCTGGAAAGCCAAAGGCACTTCTGGCACCATGTTGGCGAACCACTGCCAGTCTCCAGTTGGGTTGCCCCGGTGGCGACTTGCTCGTTGGCCTCTTGGATGAAAACACTGGCCAGCTCTTGGGCCCTGGTCCATCTCTGGTTGTGGAGCAAGATGGCTAGCCAGCCAACCTTATGTTTCCAGCCCGTGCTCTTGGTCTTGCTGTGGCTGGTTCCTGAAATGCCTTGGCTCCACGGAACTGGCTCTGCTGGTGGTGGCCCCGGTGGTGGACAGGCCCACTTTGGTCGCAGCATGAGAGGTTTGGCTTTTGGTGCACTGGAGCTGGACCTGGCCTCTGATTGTGGCGGTGATCTTGGTGGGGTTTGGGCTCGTTGGAGCAGGTTGATCCCTCCCACTGGTGGGGTTGTTGCCGGCGGTGGTGTGGGTGGTGTCTTGGGTTGTGGGATTGGGGTTGGAGGGGTGCTGAAAGGGGTGGAAATGGTGGACTTGGCTGGGGGTGGTGTCATTGGAACCTCCTCATGCACTGTCTGTGGCCTTCGGGTGGGTGGGTATTTGAGCTTGGGTTTGGGTGTGATGGTGGTGCTGCCTGCTGGCGGTGTGATGGGTGTGCTGCCGTCTGGCGGCGGTGTGCCGGGTGTGGTGCCGTCTGGTGCCGGTGTGTTGGGTGTGGTGCTGCCTGGTGGCGGTGTCATGGCCGTGGTGCGGTGGAGTGTGTGGGAGGGGCTCTGCTGGTGTGTGGGTGGCGCTTTGGACGGCAGCTTGGGGCCCATGTCTGGGCCACTGACAGGGGCTATTGGGCGGTTGGTTGAAGCTGCTGTGGGGCAAAGGACACTGGGAGGCCACTGCTGGCGGGACACTGGACTGGTGGTTTGGGTGCTGTGGGTGCGGTGGCAGCATGGCAAGCGGGGATTGGCCATGTTGCGGGCGAAGTGGCGGGGGGGTGGAAGGGGATCCTTGGTAGGAGTGGATTGGTGGTGGGGAGAAGAGGCATGCACATGGGAGCTGGTGTTGGCCAGGTGCATGGTGCTATGGGTGCTGTGGATGCCATGGGCAGTGTGGCGGTGGCCTCAAAGCAGGTCTGTGCCAGTGCTGGCACAAGTGGCCTGGGCCGAGCATAGCCAGTGCATGGGTTGGGGATTGGGCATGGGTTGGGGATTGGGACGTGGAAGGGCCATGGCATTGGGGGGACGGGTTGGGCCATGGGGGGTTTGAGTTTGGGCGGAGGTTGGGCTGTGGTCTGCTCGTCGAAAGGTGTGACGGGTGATGGCGGGGCTCCTGGCGGTGTGGGGCTGGCTTCGGTGGGAGCCTCCGGGGATGGGCATCGCAGGGGGATCTGGACCGTTGGTTGCCCTGGTGGGCCTTCTTCTGGCAAGGTTGGGTCGGCCAGCTCCTCTGTGGGCACCTCGGTGGGGTGCTCGCTGGGGCTCGTTGGCACCTCCGTCGGCGACGTGGCCATGGCTGGCACTCTGGAGGACGACTGAGTTTATGTGGAAATATTTGATGATGTTTATATGGTGGCTGTTATGTATGTAAAATGGCTAGATTCAGAATTTGAATCTAAATGCGGATATCTGGTAGTAAGATTCAGATTCTGAATCTTGGAAAATCTTAGATTCAAAATTTGAATCTAACTGCCAGAATCTGTGAATTAGATTCAGATTCTGATTCTACTGTATTTCTTACTTTGGCAGTATGGTGACATACAAAACTTCTGTCTGTGGCTTCCTACAGTGGTTCGAGCACTCTGGGCTGCTCCGAAGAGCAAAGATTCTGGCAACAACTGTGGTCACGTACCTACCTGGGCTGACAAAAGGGACGGTGTGTATGGCCAATTGGCTCCCTACAATGGTGGTGCAAACAGTCTGGCATGGCCACATGGCTCCCTACAATGGCTTGGCTTGCTGCTACGAAGCTTGGGTGTTCTTGCAGAAAGTTGGCTGTTTCAGGAGTTGGATTTGGTGGCTTTTGCTTCAGGGCCTGGCATAGGAATGGCGCTTGGAGCTCTCGGGTTTCGCAGGTTTCGGCTTTGGGGTTCATGGGTACATCGTTCTGGGTTTATATGGGGTCTGGGGTTTGGGGTCTACTGAAGTGAACCGGCACTATGGATCTCCACTTCTATTTCAGACCCTAAACCATGAAGCTTATAGACCCCTATCGGAATGGATGCTGGTCTCAAGCTTGGTGCCCCTGTTGCTGCTGCTGTGGCCGTGGCCAGCTGTCCTTCTTGGTCTTCCAGTGTGCAGCTGCTGCTTGCTCTGGTTGTGACTGCTCATGCTGCTGTTCTTCTTCTGCCTGTTTCTGTTGGTGCTGAGTATATGATACATGGCTTACAAAGATATCTTCATTACAATCAGAATCTAATATACAAACAAGTTACTCCAGACAAATCATTTCTATATATGTCTCTATATCTGTACAAAACATGTATGTGTCCTTCCATGGATGTTCACCCAAATGGTCTTCTGAACATATAGAAAAAAGCATACATCTGTGCAGATATAAATATATAACCGACAAAAAAATAACACATGTGATGGCCTTTGTGGCTTGGCATGTGACAACCTGCTGCTGGTATGGCCATGGAAGGCTTCTGGAGTTCAAGCACCCTTTTTTTGGCACGGCTTGGAGATGCTGCTGCTGGCCTGCATGGTGCAGGCTGGGTCCTTCAAAAAAACCAATGGCCTCCATACCTTTGCAGCCATGGCCGACCTGGGCCGTCTGGAGAGAGGCCCTGGTGGCATGGAAGAAAGTGGCCCATGGTGCCTGGTTGCTGGTGGTGGGTGGCCCCTCACCACCTGTAGACGAGGCCTGCTCCTCCCGCCAAGCTGGTGATCCATGGGGAATCACACTGGGTGCACTTGGCATTGTGATAGAGCTTCCAAAGAAAGATAGTGGAGCGGTGGCATACCACACACCGCAGCATTACGTGCGGCCCGATGGGCTCCTCTGGTGGAAGCATGGCACTGCTTGGGAGGGCCGTCACTGTCCCCTGTGGTGGAGGCTGGACGGGCTTGGAAGAGACGGCCGTGGAGTCCGTGGAGTCGTGCTTTGCTGCCGGCTTCTTGGCCCTGGGCTTGCTCCTGGTCGTGGCCTCCTTGGCAGCCGCTGGCTTTTTGACTCCTTTGACCATGGCGGCACTGGAGTGGAGGCTTTGGCTAGCTGTGGGCAGCTCGCTATATGGCCAAAAGAGGCTGCAGCGGAACGAAAAAGAGAGACGAACATGTGTGCCATGGCATGCCTGGCCACTTGGCTTTCAAACAACAAACTCAATGGCCTGGCATGGCCACAACGGCTCAGGCAATCGAAACTGGAGGCGTTTTTTTTGGCCGCTGGTGCACAGCTGCTGTGCTTGGGTTTCCGGCAGCCTTCGTGGTCTTCTTGGTCTTCTTGGTCTTGATGGCACCCTCAGCAATGCTGCCGTGGAGATACCTGGTGGCTTGGCAGCTGCTGTTGCTGCGAATGGTCTGTGTTTTGGCAAAAGCTGTGCTCCTGCAGCATGGACCTGCCTTGCATGGCTCTGCACACAGTCTGGTATGGCCATTTGGCTCCCTAGAATGGAAGTGCAAACAGTCTGGCATGGCCACTTGGCTCCCTGCAAAGGCTTGGCTTCACCCTACGAAGCTTGGGGGTTCTAGAAGTTGGCGGTTGGAGGACTTGGATGGTGTTGGCTTTGCTTCAGGGCCTGGCTTAGAAATGGCGCTTCGAGCTCTCGGGTTTGGGAGGTTATGCTTTGGGATGTAAGGGTATATTCTTGTGGGTTTAGGGTCCAGGGTTTAGAGTCTCTTAAGGTCAAACTGCACTATGCATTTCCACTTCTATTTCCGACCCTAAACCCAAAATGCTGAGACGTGACGGCATGGCATGGTCCTATGTACACTTGGCTTTCGCACAACACAGCAACTTGCCTGGCATGGCCACAGTGGCTACATGTCCCTCGTATATAGAAACAGGACAAAGCTCTGGATTTTCTGCTCTGGGCCTGCAACTCTGGCTGCTGTGCAGCGAGTTCATGTGGCCTGCATTGACCTGACATATGCGGTCCGTCTTGAAGAGCCTGGGCCTGTGATGGCCATGTTTGGCTTTAGCAATCACGACAAATCCCTGGCGTGGCCATGCAGGCTGGGATGTGCATGCACTCGTCGAACTTGGCATGAAGTATAACAAAGCAAGCATGACATGGCCCCTGAAGGCTCACTTGCTCCAGGAGAGTCCTGCTACATGTACTTTTCCTCGCAAACAAGCAGAGTGCATGGAAGTCTGCATCAACTGGTGCGGTACCTTCTATGGAAATCCTTGGGCA